CCCAGCCCTGCTAAACTAGCCTAGCTCGAAATCCCAGAATATTCCCATCAGGTCTATCCATAATGAGGTCAGAGATTGCATGGGGAAGGAAGAGAAACCTTCTCAAAGAAAAAGGTCTGGGGCTGTCAGGTGAAAACAGCCATTCACTCCTCTTCCCAGGAGGAAGGAGACCTCCAATTCTAACCCCACCCTCAAGTTGCCATTGGCCCTGGCTTTGGCCAGCCCTCCAGCGCCCTCTCTAGTTTGTTCTGGGCAGAGATGGGCCCCAGACTGACCAGGATGGGGAATGGTTGGGATGCATGGAGCCCCTGAAAGGGCAAGGCCTTAGTGACAGCCCCTTGGAAAAAGAGCCATGTAGCACCCTGGGGCCTGTTTTCTGATGGGTCCTTTCTGGTTTCCTTTCTCCAGAAGACAATGTAAAATGATACACCACCATTCCATATAATGAAGGGAGGTCATTATAGGAACCACTCCTTGTATCCTTTTCACCTAGCACAGTGCCTGGTTTGAGGAAACTGCTCAAGGGAAGTTTGTTTTCTCTGTGAATCAATGAATGGATCACAGGTATTGTCACAAAATATTGGAATCTTGGGGTCAGGAAGTCCCTTGGAGGACACCAGGTCTCACAGAGCACATCTAGGAGTTGTTGACCAGAATAAGAACCTGTATCACTTGGTGCAGAGGAAGATTTGCCACCACCCTGCGCCCAACACACAGACACACACATGCACACACTATAGAGGCTCTGCTTTCTCCGGGGAAGCTTTCAAGGTCCCTCAAAGCAAAGGCAGTGCTCTGTCCTTTCTCCCTCAGGTGAAAGGGCCTGCCTGTGGCTCTTGGGAAGAAGAAATTAGTCCTGTGCCTGGCAGGGAATGGCGAGCAGTGACTTTACTCCTGCCCCTCAGGGTGGGGAGAGAGGGGCAGAGCTAAATAAGGCAGGTTGGGGAATGAAACCAAGCCTCCAGAAAACCCTCACCTCACACACCCTATTTTCCAGGCCTCCCCCTTTCCCAGCTTTGTGCCCACTGTCTTTACTGCCTAGGAGGGATGTAGCTCCCAGGCCTGATAAATCCCGAAAGCCATGGAGAGGAGTGAAGACTCAGACACTCTAGAGAGAAGGCCTCAAGGGTACAGGAGGATCCCTGAACTGAGATGCCACAGAAGAAGAGAGATCAGTTTTCTCGTCAGACACATAGCTGGCCTTGTGAATAAGGCAGAGAGACGCACATGGCCTATCTCAGATTAGCCACCTCATGTCCATCAAAACCTTGCAACATTCCTCTATGCCCCCGTTTCCCATTTTTCCAACACACAAGAGGCCTTTCCTCCATCTATATAGTAGTCTGATTTTCTCCACAGCACTCTACGGGTAGCCATCTACTCACAGCTTCAAGAACTGTGGAAACTGAGGCACAAACAACATGATTCCAGGATGTGAAAGGTCATTCCTGGCTCAACTAAGACAACATGAGAGCCCCCTGACCTTGTCCCACTGCTATATCGGGACCCCCGGCTCTGCCCCAGTATGTGCCCCTATGCCTTCTGCCTGTAGTAGGTGGAGGCAGACTCTGCCTTCCTCGGATAAGGAACTAGAGACTGAACTATAAGATGCTAATAAAAGAAAGTATGCACGGCACAGGAATAGAAGTCAGTGGATCTAGCCAAGACTCTCTGGCTTTTCCACCAACTAGCTGTGTGGCCTTGTGCAAAGACTGTAACCTCCTGGGTTGAGCCATTTAACTCCTTTGTTACTTCTCCTGTGTTTTGAGGAGAACAGGATGCACCTAAAGGTCCTTCCCACTCTAAAAGTCTGAAATTGGGGCCCCTGAGTGGCTCAGTTGGTTAAGCAGCTGCTGACTCTCGGTCATGATCTCATTGTTTGTGAGGTCAAGCCCTGCATTGGGCTTCGTGCTAACAGCAGGAAGCCTGCTTGGGATTCTCTCTCTTCCTCTCTCTCTGCTCCCTCCTCTCTCTAAATAAATAAACATTTTCTAAAAAGTCTATGAAATTAGCTCTCATTTCAACGTTTATTTATTTTTGGGACAGAGAGAGACAGAGCATGAACGGGGGAGGGGCAGAGAG